AGTTAACAGTGATATGTGAGAAAGGCTGAAAGAGAAAACCAGATATTCTTATGGGGAGACCGAGATATGATCCAGAAATCTAAGAGAAGTAATTTAAGTTAAGAAAGGGGGCAAAGGGGAAGAGTTCAATGACCACATATGACTGATTTTAAGTGTAGAAAAGGGATAAAGAGTTTGCTGAAACTCAGCTGAAAGGTCAGTGTCTCTCAGGAACAGATACAGTACCCTTACCCAGGAAAATATCTGAATGTACAAGATGTTATTTTCGTGACAATGTTTTGCAGAAAAGAAAAGGGAATAAATGGCAATACACAATTTTCAGAGATTTCCATAGTAGTTTGCCACAAGTGCCAACGCTTATACAGAAGATCAACACACTGCATTTTATTTTATTTTCTTCTGGAATTTGCCATATTTTGTAATCCAATACATTCGCAAGCTGAAGTAAGGTCCCCTGATTCATAGCTTCAGACTACAGATAAAATATAAATTTTTATAACGATAAATTACTGAGATTTTAGAAACTATACTATTGTAAAATTGGTGCCTTCTTAATGCTTGCTACTGTTCAGATTCCATTACAACATTTGGACATGAAACATAGATAAAATGAGTCCAGATACGTTATTCTATAAAAATCTTTTGATCTATCCAGAGTTTGTAAGAACTCTAGTGTAACCTGCATTAAATTAGCCCAATTTTATTAGTCCTTATTAGTCCTCCCTATTTATTATATAAAAAAAATTAAATACCTGGTCCATTTGATTGTAGTATTTCATCACTCAACAAGAAGGTTGTCCTGTGTACTTTCCCAGACGTTCTATCGGAAATGGGAAAAGAGAACAAGAACAAAAGGAAGCTATTAAATAAATTATCAACTCTAATTTTCACTTTTTCTTGTAAGATTAAAAATGGTTACTATCATACTGACTAAATTATGAAAGTTCTGAAAATTCTGAGCTTATCACCTTTAAACTTTTCTACTTGAGAGAAACCTTTTGTACCTCCAAATAATGCGAAATTAAATAATACTTAATAAATTAAATAATATTTAAATACCATATTCATAAATTAAATAATATTTAAAAAAATATAGTCTATTCCACAGACTAATCTGTTAAGTTTACTGGCTGTATAAATTATCCCATTCCTAGCTTTCGGTATAGATGTGACAGCTAGTTATACTTCCAGAAAATCAGAGAGAGATGTTAAAATTCAAAGGCATCTGGAGTTGTCACTGAGATCTGAAGACTGAAAATGAGAATATTGAAAACAATCCTAACTCCAAGCCTTTCAAAATGATACAGTACATATGCAAGATTTCATGCTAGTCTTTCAAATAGAACTAAGAGAACTGATTTACTGTCAACTTGCTCAACGTGAATTAAACAAACATGTCAGCGGACTAACACCACTCATACTGTAAATAATATGTCATTCTGTTGATACAGGTAGAGAGGGGTTGATCTGCATAATTTATTGTGTCCATATAGTACGGTACTGAAAGAGTACAGAAACTGTTGAAAATGCCTGATGAAATGCAAGCATAAGTCTGTTTACTATGAAGTGTGACTTACTGCAGTCACGTATGGTCTCTCTCTCCCCGCATCCCACTTACATTTTTTGTAGAAGGTACAGGGGGTTTAGACAACAGTATAAGCTTTTTGTTCAGTTAGTGCAGAACAGCTTGTATATAGAATTATCACCTTTTTTTAGATCTTCTTTCAAGCTGTGTAGTCTCTTTTTTTAATGTATTTTAAGAATACTAAATTAAGATTTGAAATGAAGATGGTAATTTAAAGGAGATTATAATCAAATAACACTTCAAAACCGAAAATGGTGTAAATCTATCAGCTAGTTTATATAACAGATGCAAGAAAGACCTGCTATGCAGATTATGCCACCACTCCATATTTCTCCACAGATAAACACTTGCTTAAATAGATGATTTTGTGACAGGTCTGAGATAAACAGAATCACATTTTATCACATAGAATGGGAACTCTTTAGCCTACATTAATGATAACAATTGTGATATTTATTGTGTTACAGTGTATAATGCACTTTAAAAAAACCCACTATTTTCATGTAAAGCAGAATTGGAGAACCTAATTACCAGAAAATGCTATCAACTGCTTGTATGTATGTATTATTCTAGTCATCTGCATACCTTTGAGAATGGTTGACTAGTTGCATTGCTCAGACAAACCTGATTTGTGGTAGCTTTTAGAAGTCAGCTCTTTCATTAAATCTTAGTTTTACTTAGTGATTTTTGTAATTTATGTCTGAAAGTCTCAACATTTGGAAAGTTAAGAAATTGAAAAAAAATGCATTCAAGAAAGCAATTCTTATTGAATTCTGAGGTTTGTAATAAAGTTGGAGCTTCCTGTTCAGTGCTCTTATTTTCAAACTTCCTGCCTTCCCTTTCCTACCCTGACGGGTTTTATCATTTTGGAGTGTAGCATGCTCAGTAGAAATCCAAATATCTGCTTAGCCAGAGTGGTTTTACTAGCTCTGTTTTCATGAACTTTTTTCAAATAGTTCAGACATGTAAAGTGAGCATTGCTCAGTTTAGTAGTTTTTTTATTTGCACAGTATTGTAAAATGCATTTTTTATAATCTAAATAGAATTACTTGTTGGAATGCAGTTTTGCTCTGTCTTCACTTGTGCCCTCCTCCTTTTTAACCACAACTACATATTTTATCTGTTAGATACTGGTTTACGTAGCCTCTGTTCCTGGTTTCAGATTTGGTTTGTCCTTCCCCCACTGCCTCACTTCTGTATTGGGCTGGGATAGAAATTAAAAAGCTTATTTTGGGAGCTTCACCTACAGTTTGTTTTCTCAAGTCTTCATTAAAGTTTGCTCTTTAATTGACTTAAGGTATTTTATGTTTCCTTCAAGCAGCTAACATTTAGACATGGATGTCTGAATCTTTAGTAATACTGAATGAAGTTTTCACTATTAACCTCTCCCTATTATATTGACATTGACAGTTTAGACATTGATGATTTGCATGACTACTAATCCAACTGATGGGAACTGTGTGTGTTATACTAAAGTTGTATATCAACATTAAATTGCCACCCCGAGTTCTACCTGCATTTGATTGCTGGGGCAATACAGTAATGAAGACATTCCTCAGTATTTTTATGCCTAAACTTCCTCCTATTATCCTATTTGGAGAATAAATAGCTGGCCTCTTAGGAAGAACATTGAGGACACTAGATGTACAGTGTGAGAGTACAGTCTGAACTCTGAAACTGCCTCTCATGCTGCCTACTTGTTAGACTGTCTCAACCCACAATGGGGACCGAGTAATTAACAGTAGGTTTCATTCAGTTTTAGGAACTCTGATATCTAAACATGCAAGAATCTAGAAAAGCAATGCCTCCCTCCTCAACTCTCTAAGAAATAATCAGAACTACTACTAATTCATTAATAACTCTTAAGAACAGCTGCTTAGAACCAGCACTGGCATCTAAAGTTATTTTTACAGATCTTCCCACTCCTGTCACAAAAATCTTGCTTTGCAGCTTTGCTTGTTCTACTTTTGCACCCAATAAAGTTTCCATAATGTAACAACTTCCTTCCAACTTACGAAATATTTCAAATTTGAATAGATTGTTCCATGCACATTGCTCTTCTCACGCAAATGAAAAATCTTACCTCTTTCTTCTTAGATGTTTGATTTCTTTATTAAAGAGAGTCCTGAGAATTTTTTATGTAGCGATTATGTCAATCCATACCAGCCTGGTAGAATTCCTTTCGTGTCCCAATTGGAACATAAATTGTACTTTTTTTCCTTCATAGTATTTTTGCACACACATACATTTTTGATCAAGACATCTGATTGACTATATGAAAGAGTAAAGTGCATCAAAGCATTCTGAATTATTTAGTTGTAAATTTTACAATATAGCCTGTAATACTAAATAAAACTATAGTTGGCATTTCCACTTTCATGCTAATAACATTCAATAGACATTATTTTATATTATTCTTTAGAAATGCTAAGAAGAAATAATATCACAGGTGAATATATTGGAATGTGAGTAGTTGCTGCTGTTCTTCAAATATAGTCCTTACCCTTTGGCAATATATAGGCTCTCCAATGATTTCATTAGTTATTAATTGCACTGGCTTTGCTAGTTTCATTCTGGAGACAGAAATATCACTGGCTCATGAAACACTAAGTATAACTCTTTCTATTCCAAAAGACATATACAACAGGTATGAGAAAATGGCTGTAGTCTTCCTTTCATAAAAGTGCTTCCTCTTAATTGCCCTTCCCCCTTTTAAGAATCCTGATGATAAAGCTGAATCGTAGTTCCCGATGATTAAACATTCTCACCGTTACATAATACAATTTCCATTTTATTTTAAACATACTTTGCATGATATAAAAATATTGATCACAGTGAGCTTTAACAATTGTTACTGCTATAAACAGAAATGCTGCACAATGGTTTTAGTGGAAATAAATTATATAGTCATTATCTCTTTAAAAAAAATCACAAGAAGGAGGACCTAGGCTGTTTGGTCATTGGCAGAAAATAAGTCCTTATTGAGTTCTTTACAAAACAGAAACCCCAGTTATTTTCTACATTTGCTTTCCACATCTTGAGAAAAGCACAATGAGAGTCTCTGAAAGCCCCACAGGGTCTCTGGTGAACATTTAATTCCAAATATTAGCAAAGTTTCTGTTGTTCTTTTGTTCTAATGGAAAAATGTACACCAAAATAGCAAGTAGTGCTCTCTTCACTAGTTCATAAGTGGTCTTTTCCAATATGTGGGTACACAACGGCACACTTCTTCACTAAAATAAAATCCAGAATCACAGCGTTTCGTTCGGACTGTACACGGTGGTCTGTAACAACTAAAGAAATGAAAAAAAGTGGGCATTAATAAACATGATCATTTATATTAACCTGGAGTAGAAATCTGTGTGCATTTAGATTGCCATTTCTTGAGGGGATATTTTAATTCCTACAAATACATAGCTTTTAACTTCTGTTTCTGTACTTGCAACTACTTTTAATTGGACTATTCTTCACAAAAGACAATGAAAGAATAATGAATGCTATTGAAGAGAAATTGTTCTATATATCTACAGATACTCACGAATATTTTTAACATATTGCTCGGTTGCAGTCATGTTCTAAGTCTTGCGTAGTATTTCTTTACATTTAATTTTGAAACTAGAGTAATATTTTTCTGTACTCAAATTGGCTTGTTATGGCCTACTGCATGTTGCTAGTTTGAGATGGCAAACCAGAACCAGGTGATAATCAAATCTACCATCTTCTCACCTAGGACTGTTTCTCACCATATTCACTAATGGAGTAAGCCTGAAAGAGATTTTTCTATGCATGTTATACTGTGACTCTGACCTTGAAAGTGAGAACACACTTCCTTTCAAGTTGCAAACTCCTACAGCCACTCTCTGAAGCCAGGGGAATATAGCTATGCTTCATATTGCATCTACGTGCATTCTAAGTAAGATCAGAGCCTGCATGCTCATGATAAATCTTAAAGGAAAAAGGACAGAAATAGTCCCTATTTGATTAAAATAAGTTTAACAGAAATAGAGCATTAAACCACGTCACATCTACCTAAGAAGCACCAGAATTTTTCTTCACAGATTCCTTGACTGAAAAATAGACTTTATACAAAGATACTATCTGTGGTTGTCCCTGAACTCTTCCTTTTCCTATTTTATTTTTCAATTAAAACAAGAACTTGACCTAAAATAACCTTACAATAACAATGCTAAATACTTTCTGGTGTATAATGGAGGCAAAGTACAAGTCTGGGTTTTTTTTTTCAGATGCTGGCAATGAGTCAAAAGACAAAAGTATATGTTTTGAATTTCAACACAGTTATGCTTAAAACTTGTATTTAAATAACGTTTGCCTGCTTGTGAAACACTGATATTATAATCTATTACTATAATTCATACTTACTTCAGTTCAAAGACACTACATATTAAGGCAATGTCACTATCCTCTTCCCTAGGTAATACTTGTTTGGGGCTTGTGGCTACTCTTATGATTGTTGCAGGTAAGTTGATATGTTGTATGCTTGTTTTGAATACCAAGTTACTACTTTGCAATAATTTGTTTATGATACGAAGTCTGGATTACAGTTACATTAATTCATGCCAGCTAGTTCAACCAATGAACCTGGCTATGAGGAAAACAATATGGAATGAGGAAGACTGCAAACATGACATCCATCAACTAGTCACATCTTGTTCACAGTGTTTTCAATGTCATGAAACACAGATTAGCTCACCAGTGTGGTCTCTGTAATTAAGGGAGTAACATTATTTTGTGCCATTTAATATAGAAATTTGAGATGAGCATAAACAGCTCACGCAAATCTCTCAAAGCCTTATTGATCTTTCGCCCAATAAAGTTTGGAAGCTGTGGTAAAAGGCAACAAAAATGTTTGCCAAAGGATCTAATACACTGAGCAAACGGACAACCAGCAGTAGGTCTGTTCCGGGAAAAAGGTACTCCCTACAGATGCAATGGACGAAATACTGAACTCATTTGCCTTTTTGCCTGTCTCTGCCATGAGAGTTAGACTACTTCATGTACTGAATGACCATAAAATGAAATAAGAGAAGAAAAAAAAAAAGACGAAGCCAAACACTTCCACCCACCTATGACATGTACAAAATGAAAAGCAGGCACGTATTCATTAGATAGGAGGAGGAGTTCACTTTGTTTAGGATTCATGCCTCCTAGTGAACTGTGACCTTCAACTTATTAACTTCCAGTTGAGAGTGGTATAAAGCATCTCTCCCATGGGAGTTTGTGTCTAGCAGCAGTCAAGGTCGGGTTACTGCAGTCTTATCCTTATTTGGGACATTTCAACAGAGCAAGAGAGCCCCTCTCCTCCTCTAAAATGCTTTGCAGCTGAATTACGTAGCTATCTGGCCCTGCCAAAACTGACCAAAATAAATTTTTGAGGTGATAGCACAGGGTGAAGAGTGGCAGAGTCATTGTAACTACATAAATGTGGTTTCCTTAGGAAACTCTGCTGAACAATAGACCAGGTCTTTCAAAAGATTTGGGCTGGATGTTGTTTACAGAGTGCTTTCATGTGATGAGATGTCTGTTTTGATGAGGACAAATTGAACACGCTGGAGCTAAGACAGATGTTCAGTCAACATGTATAGTGCTGGGCAAGTCAGTGGCAGCTTTCCCTTCATGGTCAGAAATTGCGATTTTTTTGGATACTGAATGCCCAGGTTTGCCATTTTGAGCAGTCTAACAACTTCACAGATGAAACTGAAGTAGAAATGCTACTTTCAGTGGTGGTAACAGCATCATCACCTTAAAAGCCAGTATGCTTTATGGTGGGGTGTTTGGTTTTTTCCTTTTTTTTTAAAAAAAAAAAAAAAAAATCTTTTTTCCTTCCTATCCAGTGCTTTGTAAATGACTTTGCGTTCCTTTCCTCTGGAGCAGGGTATAACATTAGAGGCAGGCATTTTAGGTAAAGTGCATAAAAACGTGGGTGCTTCAAAACCGGAACCTACAAGGACTACTTCCCTGAATGGGGAGCAGTCTAGGACATGGCTACAGGATTCCACTCATGGCTAGGTCTCAGGCATCTTGCACAAGGTTAGAGTGGTACTTCCATTTACATGTCTCATAACAGCAAGGGATCTTTCTTTCAAAGACAAACAGGATGTTGCAGGGTTTTTACTCCTTTTGAGAGAAAGCTTGTGGTGGACAGAGCCAAAATCTGAGAAACCTATGCTAAATCCTTTCTTAAGAATTTTCCTTGACAGTGCTAACACCTACAGGGCTCTTGGTTGTAGAGCTATAGGGTAACATTATAAACAAGTTTTTCTTTCTCCAAAGATGAACTGCTTAGTAAAAAAGAAACAGCTAAAAGCATCCCATATCAGATTGTCCTTGGAAGTCAGAAAGTGATTCAAATTCTACTGTATTCAACCTCACCACCACAGAGAAAAGCTAGGCTCAAGTCCCTCCTTCAAATACTAAGTCCTTAAATCATTAGGGGTGGCATCAGATATTTATTATGGCATTTCTCAGCTTTTGAAATGACTGACTTTTCTAGTTGTGAATATTCTTTTAAAATGCACATGGTTTATATGTGCAGCACCACTGGAAGTGCACACTAGAGTAGTGCTAAAGCTCATGTAATCAGGTCCTTTCTTTTCCTCCACAAAAATAAATGGAAATAAAACCTGCAAGATACAGAAGAAATAATTTCTTATGTTTCTAACAACTCTTCTATTCCACTCAAAAGGCCAAACATAGGAAAACAGGTAATGTCAGCTATTAATCTTTTCCCCTATTTTAGAGGCTTCAACATTCCTAGTATTAGACATTTTTTCTTTATTCAAGATAAATAAATGCATATATATCTGACAATATACTTATGCCAACTAATCACTTCATATTAAAAAATACATAAAGTTTACTTTTGATAAGCAACAAATTACCACAGACATTTAAATGTCCCAATTTGCCATTTTCCATTTCCAGTGCCTGAACATTTCTGGAATTGTTATTTATCATTAATATAACAAATAATTCCATATATTAATAAATAAGTGATCTATCTGCTCCAAATGGTATTGTTTCTGTTTTAACAAATTCACTTTACAGGAAAACTTTCCTCACAAAAACCACAAAGCACAAATAGTATTGTTTGTTTCTCAGAACCTAAAGACAGTTACATTTTCATATATAGAATGCTAACACTATGGGTGTAGCAGTCATGGAAGGAAAAGCTCCTGCGATATATAAAGAAATTGCAGAGTTTTCTTCCTGAACAAATCCCATTTTAAATGATGAATGTGGGTGGTCTGTTTTACAGTTATATATGTCTATTTTTCACAAAAATTACCCAGAGCTATAACTTTTTATGCACTCCTAAATCTTTATTATCAGTTGAGTGAAATGAAGGATATGCAAAAATGTAAGAAGTGACAATGAATGAACCCCTGAAATCTAATTAGGAATATTTGAGCTATTTGAATTGCAATATTCAGTTCTTGGGGGAAAAAAAGAAGAGTGGGATTTTAAGTAGCATAAAAAAAAAGGGAGCTTGAACTTAGAGCTCACTTTGTTTAAAAAAAAACAACAAACAAACAAAAAACCAAACACATGAAGTAGTAGTAAGAGTACAAGAAACCAAACATGCTTTAAAATACTTATTCTGCCTAGTAGTTTCCTCTTAGAGATGATAAGTCATAGAGGATAAAACTGAATTGAAGAGAGGCTTACTGGTTACTGAAGACTACAAAGCAATTCAACAAGATGGCTAATGACACAACCCAAAATTTTATACCTTAAACACAATGAAAGGGCTAGAGACTGAGTTTTTACCTGCATGTCTGGTGATGGAACCTTTTTCCTTTTAAGAAGCATTTATTGGGAGATTCTATACATTCACAGATGCATTTTGCAGGATTTAGTGGCTGATGTTTAGGACAGGTCTTTTTACATACACACTGGCACTTATCTTCATCAAATTCCTTGTTGGGCCCACAGGAAGTGGGAAGAAGTTTGTTTTTGCACATGCACTGACATGACGATCTGTCTAATTCTTTGTGAGGTCCACAGCTTGAGGGCCGCACACCTCCTTTGCAGACACACTGACAGGTTTCTTCATCCAGCTCTTTGTTTGGTCCACAAATATGGAATCCTTCAGATGTGTCTAGAAATACAGGAGAGAAGTTGCACAATTATCAGAATTTTGTGTCTACCCGTTCACCTATTTTTAAGTGAAGAAATGATCGCAAATTCATACCTTCTAAGGTGTTTTAAGATCAAGCGTATGTTAAAAGACAGGCAACAACCAGTAATAGCATCAATAAAGAAAAAGATTCAACTATTTACTTTTCAAGCATTTAATTTCTCCTTAAGGTAAATCAAAACATGGAACTACATTTACTCCTTTAAGCAAAACTGCTTACCAGAATCTCCGAGGTGAGAAGAGAAACCAAAATCATGCTGTGCCAAACACCTGCAAATTTGATTACTCCAAATATGATTTTTTGGACAGGTCTTGTTTGCCACGTGACACCTGTGGAATGAAATATACTGTTGATTTACTACCGTAAGAACTCAAGAAAAAAAATAAATTGATTTTAGATCCTGATTGCTTTTGTTTCCCTCCATTACAAAAATGTTTCTAAGAGCTTCAGATCATTCACAATCTTATTTTTAACTCCTATCAAGTCTGTTACTAATTAAGGTTCTCCCCACTACAGGAATCTTCAATGATTTGTTGAAGGTTGAAGATACCTTCTCACATTTCAAGTTTTAGCTCTAACTTCTAGAAGCTGATACTTGTACCTTCCTAGTGTATTTCGATACAGATCTAACCCTTGAATATAAACCTCATATAGAAAATAGACCAGTATTAAAAAATATTTGCATGCCAAATACTGCATAGGTAGTAACAGGCATAATTTTCTACATTGTTTTTTGAAGTTTAAAAACATTTTAACACATACAGATGTCAAAAGACAGCTGATAATAGTTTCTCAATAAATGCTGCAGACAAAACTCTAATTTCTAAAATAGAATCAGCTTATCAGATTCCTTTCCCCTTTATGTGAAAGTTATGTGCCATTAACTTGACTCTTTCTTATCAGCCACTCAAATCCTGGACAGCTTTCTTGAATCTAAAGATTTGGACTTCAGCGGTGATGCCTCTGCACTTCAGAAATGAAAGACAGTAAAAATTTAACAGTTTAGTGCTTTTTACCTGCTAGAGTTTTGCTGCCAAGGTAGTGGTACCAAAGAAAGCAAAAAATCCTAACAGCAGCTGGTGCCTTTTTAAAGAATGACTGAAGTTAGTTAACAGGTGCACCACAGATCACAGAATGGTAGGAGTTGGAAGGGACCTCTGGAGATCATCTAGTCCAACTCCCCTGCCAAAGCAGGTTAGCCTAGAGTAGGTCACACAGGATAGAATATGTATGTGTATTACCTCATCTTCCTTGCTGGCAATTACTTTATCACCACGGGTGACATTACAACTTTTAACAAGTCATGCCTAACTTTGTGCATCAGGCTGTGCCATTTATTAATTATTTCTGTAGTATTTCTACAACTCTCATCTGTTAAGAAGGCAGCACATACATTACACATTTTAAGCACTTTTCATTTCCCTCAGCACTATTACTCGTGCATTCAAAAATGCAGGTGCTGGGACATTCTAATGTGATCATCATTCAAGTATACCACTCCCCTTCACCGCATTAAATGACTCTTTGCTTGTAAAGACTGCTGTAGTTTAACATCAACCTGCATCGCCTCATGTTTTATCAAGCTGGTGTTTCCTGATTTCATTCTGCTAATGATCTCACTCTTGCTCCCTCACTTGGCACAGATGTCCATTTGCTTGCCTCCTGATTCTGCTAGAGAAATAGTACAGATAATCTACAGATATATTATTGTACTCTGTTTAAAAAAAAAAAAAAAAACAAAAAACAACAAAAAAACCAAACCAAAACCAAACCAAACAACAACTCGCACCTGGAGCAGCCTGGCTCTAGCCAAGAGTGTTTAAAACGAACTACAGAAGGAAGCAGGTTGACAATATAAAGAAAACACCCAGCACACATAAACCCATGAGAAGGCAATGTTCCTACAAAAGCCAAGTTACCAAAATTTGAAGAGACTGATCAGTATTTCAGCATCAGGGTTGGAGACACCCAGCAAAAGGAACTGGAACTGCTTGTTTACAAATTCTGCTCTGGTTGCTAGTACAGAAAATTACTGGGGGATATGGCTGAAATTTTAAAATATCTTGTAACATTTTAGGAAAGTTCAGGAAGGTTAGGAAAAAAACAAATCAAGAGGCAAAACCACTTTGCAGAAAATTTCACTACCTGATTCCAAATCACTGTCAACTCCACTAAAAAAACCTCAACAAACAAACCACCCCCCCGCCAAAAAAAAAAAAACAACAAAACAACAAAACCCCAACAGAAAACCAACAAACCCAGCATGCTAACTTGTTATCTGTCAGTGCTAGGACAGATAATGCAGAAGAGGGGTGAAACATTTAACGTTTACAACATACATCCAAACCACATCTAAAATATGCTCACCAGCCCTGTAAGCACCTACTTACAAACCATGGGAAAAAAAGGTCATCATAGAGACTTGATTTGATTTATGTGTATTAAAAGCTCCTCTGCTCCCCTCCCCCCTCACAGCGCTAAAACTTCTAAAGCAGAGAGACAATTTTGTAACTCAGTTGCAAGTCTTGATGACATTCTATATAAACAGAGAGGAGTACAATTTAAGATACCATTAATCCAGGAGGTATTCTGAAACACTGGTTAACGTGAACTGACATGCCTCAGCTCTGCAAATATGTAGAGGTAGCTACCACTCTACAGAAGGAAAAAAAGGAAAAAAGCGGGAGAACAGGAAAAGACCTGGACCTTAATTCTGAAGATAAATTTGTGCAGAAAGTGTATTTTATATAAAAAAGATTGGCTATTTGTATTCTATCTAACATGTCATTTCTCTCTTCTTTCTAACATGCCTGTGCATTGTGCTATAATCCAGCTTTGAACTCTTATTAGATCCCAAGTGTTATTACTCTAAAACCAGAAATTATACTCGTAGGCTTTTCTTTTCAGTAATACATAAGAAAGTCATTACTATATTTCTGTTAAAACGAGCATGTACATAAATACAGGCACACATGTAGATCTGCCACTGTGACAAGAAAATACATTTCCAGGTTTTGGCTTTACAACAGTTTCACCGTCATTCAAACCTATAAATAAAAATGTTAAGGAAAAATAAGATGCTGAAAAGAAATTGAGGACTTTAGTACAACTTAGAAAACCACAGTGGGATTCTGAAAAGCATCCAGGCACCCACCAGGAACGTGCAAATATCTTTCCTTTCCTTTGCTTTCTAGAATCTAAAAGCACTCAGCTTGGTTTTCTATTTGTTTGCTTTTCTATTTTATTGTAAAAAAGCCACAGATTTTAAAATTGAGGACTACTCAACCGCAGAGAAAGCCTGCATGTATTCTGATCTAGTACTAAGCACAATCCCTTACTCACAAGGGAGCCAGCTACTTGTGTGTGCTGGTCAAAGTCTTGTATCTATACACTTACTTCCCTCTAACTACAGGTAGCCGTTTCCTGGCTAGAACAAACTCCTGCACTGGTAATTACAACTGCTCTTAATGTGGAAGCACTGAGAAGCTGTGAACAGTCAGCATAATTTGACTTTATTAATGACTCTTGGGTTTTGATTTTTATAATCTGATAATTACGCAAATTAATTAAACTATTAATAGAATTTATTTCCTAGTATTTTTCTAATCCACTGTTCATGATCCATGTTTTGATGAACAAATTCAATAATTTGAATTAAAATAGAATATAACCTGTGTGTAGCTCGAACATGTCAGAAAACATCCAGACTTTAACTGAATGAAAACACAAGAGAAATCAACCTAGCTTATGTCTCTGTGCATTTTGCACTATTCACTCACCTTACTAAAAGTGCCTACAGTTAGTTTCAGTTCAGCTTCTAGTTATTGGTTCTTCCATAAAACATCTGTTAGTCTGTTACATATTTTTGACCTCCTAAATATTTATACATCATGAAATCATCACTCAGTCCTCTAGGATGAAGGGAAGGATTTCTTCAAGTGTTTTAATAACACTGGCTCCAGCACCAGATTTCTTCTGTGATCTTTTTCATTCAAAAATCACCAAACAAATCAATATGCTAATTCTGTGTACTGTCAATTAACCCTTTATTTTCCCTTCCCATTCTGTTTTATTTTCACCTCTGGCATATGAAGATGTCCCAAAAGATTTACAGTTAAAGATTTTGTAAAATCAGGCCTTTTTTAAAACAGTGTTTTAAATAGGAAAACACAGTTTGAGAGAGAAATGCTGTTTATTTCTTATTTGCGAAAGTAATTTTAGCTTTTCTTGATTTTTTTTTTTTAAAGAAGTTCACTTCATTGATCTTTCCTTTGAGCCTCAATTGCACTGCAGCTCTTTCCATGAACAAACTCCACAAACAACATTATTCTTCATTTTTAAAGCATCTAGCCCCAGTTTATCCACTGGGTAAAAAGGTAATGTTACTTTAATAATGTTCTCTTCATGTAAAACGATATCAGCTCCTTTGCAAAATGCATTCTGCTACTACTAATGTGTAGTTCATTTAATAAGTTTACCTATCTTAATTGTGAAAGCTTCCAGCAGTACTTTAAATCTAATTACATAGGCTTGCTCATAAAATGAAAGGAAAGACAGGTCTCATACTTACTGAGTTTGTGTTGCTGGCAAGGAACGTCTTATGATAGAATGAACTTGTCTGTAAACATCCAACTTCGACATGCATCGGCAGGACGTGTGATTGGCAAAACTGACAGTTACAGGTTTGGGGCCATGAGAAAGAGGCACTGTGATCTCAAACAACTATAAAAGGTAAAGCAAAGCAAAGAATATTTTTTATAGATCAGTAACAGTACAATTACAAATAAAATAAGAACATACAAAAAATCTATAAGATATTTAAGTTTAGGTTTTTGTCTTCTACCATCATTTAGTAGCATATTCAATTACATTGCTAAACAGTCATTATGTGCAAACTGAATACAATAGCTACGGTATGACAAATGTTTATGGTAAACCCTGTTGCGTGCCTTTTTGCTTACTATAATATCTAAACTAACATTAGAAGAGGAAAAGGTACAAAGAACTCATTTTTCTAGAGAAAATTAATTCAAATTGGCAGCCTTTTAAAAAATTTAAAATGTAGCATTTGGAAAGTGCTTTGAAAAGTTGGAAAATAAGAATAACTTAAAAAGGGAGTTAAACTACAACCTGATACATCAGTTGCATGATCACAAAAGTGTATGTAAAACAGCAATAAATTGGACTGAGATCAAAACATTTTTGGATGAACAAGTTTTGAACTGCGGCATACTGTATTTTTGACTTTCGAGTACTGGTATCAGTGCAATTTATATGGTTACCCTAACAGAATGCATCTTGAACTACTAATTGTTTTCAAGATATTAAGAAATACCCACTATTAATAAAATAGTCATGTATGTAAACTAATAAAATCCTAATTTTAGTGGGAAACACAGTTCAACTGGTGGAAGAGGACAACTTCAGCAATACCTTGTCAAAACCTGAACATATGGTAGCACAAACAGTGACACTTATTTCAGTATTCAATTCAGGACATTTACTTTATCAAATTAAGCAGATTTCACTGTAGGACTTAAATCTCAGTAGTCTCCTGAAAAGTTACTTAGAACAAATACTTTAGGTCAAAGTCTTAAAAAACATATTTTGGTAGTATTTTTAATAGGGTAATAGTGCACTTTTGCCTTTTAGGTGTTCAGTCACTTTTCAAAATATATTTAAGAATATTTCTGTATCTTTGGGGGACTCTACTACCTTCAAAAACATGGTCATTGGTTATTATTCCAGTTTCAGTTAATGAGACTGTATAACAAGGCTTTAATTTTTAGCTGAGATCTGTTTACAATTTCTATAATCAATAATTTTACAGTATGGCATATAGACAGAATGCAAATGTAATCAAAATACTGGTAACTTTACATGATTCTAAATACAAATCACACCTACAGAATGTCCTGAAAACAATACCTTGCACTGAACTGGATGCCCCCTCCCTGGCAGTATTCAAGGCCGGGTTGGATGGGGCTTTGAGCAACTTGGTCTAGTGGGAGGTGTCTCTGCCCATGGCAGGGGGGGTTGGAACTAGATGGTCTTTAAGGGCCTTTCCAACCCAAAGCACTCTATGATTTTATGAAGTATGTAAGTGAGCCCAAGTGGTAACAAGTATGCAGGTGCAGCAGTGTGGGATGTATTCAACAAGTACCACAGGGTAAAAGGGCACTTGTGCTGCCAACAATAAACAACAACATAGCTAAACTATGCAACTTGAACCTAAATTGTATAAAGCATCATCAACTCTGACATTTATCTATTTTACAAAACAAATATTGACATCATTTAGTGACTGTATCTTTAAAAAAGTTTAACATTGGGAATGTCATCATACAAGAATGGAAATGGCAAAAGTCTTATACTTGCATTTTATTCTTTTACAGAAGATTACAATGCTATTATTTTTGCTGCAAACACTACCACATCCCTTACATTAGTTTTAAACGTGGCGTTTTTTTCCCCACTAGAATTTAAGTATATGTTTACTTCTGTAGAAGGAAAACCAAAACAGAAAATAGTTTCCTATATCTTTCAAATACCAATGAAAAAAACTATCCATCTAGGGAGCTACCATGAAAAAAGTTTCTCTTGCTAGAAAGTCTTTTAGCCAAAGATTATTAATTAAACTTGGATTCTTGCTCCAGCTGCAAAATAAGTAATGCTTCTTAAAATTTTGGTCTTGTGTCATCAATAAGATAAGGGCACAAGTCCACATCTAAAGCTTGGTACCAATAAAATGAATGCCTAATTATCACCAGACATACCTCCAGGGTTTTCACCAAGTTCAACACAGACTTCTGGAAAGACATTTTCTAATCCACTTTTTATTATAATCCATTTTGGTTTCCAAACCAATATTGGCTCCTTCAGCCTTATCTATTACAAAAGTTCCTTTAAATAATCACAAATGGCATTTTACCAAGATGCCTCATCCAAAAACAGCAGTAACCATAACACAGAGCTATCATTTTCATCCTAATATGTTACATGAAAATAGCTTTATGTACTTATTAATTTCTTTTAAAAATATCCATCTACTTGAAGGCCATCACAGGTTTTGTTATAATGCACAAACTAGGTAGGAAACTGGAGAGGAGGAAGGTGGTGCTGCAGATAAAGAAACAGAAAGGATCATGTTAATGAAAAATAGCTTTCATTTCTGCATACAGTATACATTTGAGAAAATACATGCCGAGTTCTTTGGGTATCTGTTTTTAATTACTGATCAGATGACAAAACTCACCTACATATGCAAGATTTGTATCTTTTTTTAAACAAGTTGTGCTTTCAGAAGGACAGCACAACTGGACACCTCTGAAATTCTGGAGAGCTAAGAATCCACAGATGCAAAAGCCTTTACTTTATCAAATACCTTGTAAGAAAACTGTTTCTTAAGACGCATGAATTGAGGGGCAGAACAAAGAGTATGGACTTAATTACAACATCACACATGTAAAGAGAATCTTGTTTTCTCTGCTCTCTTACGACAGTATGAATTTGCTTTTCTGAAGTTGAAAAAAAGAAAATCAACAAAACACTATAGGGAGAACTGATAAAACTTAGAAACTGAAGATGTGTGAGTCTTTGCATGGCCCAAACTGCAGTTGACTAGAAAAAAAGGGCATGCTCTGTTCTTCCTTTGTTCATGGAGTAGATCAGTTTGCCATGCTGCAAAACATGGCAGACTCCAGACTGCTGGAGATGGCAGTGTAGGACTATTGCTACAATTCCAAACCTCCTAAGAGAGGTGCCTGTCAGCCCACCTGTCCTCTTGTTCAGCTTCAGGAGTGCACCAAGAGAAATTTCGCTAAAACACCTGAGATGTACCAACTGTGAGTGGAAATGATGGTGGACATGAATTATCTTAATCTACATTTGTCCTTCCACTTAAACTGTGAAAGGTATCAGTTTAGAGATGAATATTGCTAACAACTATTCCCATCAACACCTCAGTGGTACGATGCAAAAAAAGCTGAGTTAAACAATGTAAAGGTAGAATAGCTTCCTTGATGTCACAGAATTACCTTCAGTTTTGTTCAACTAAATTCTCTTAATAGCAATAATAGTAAAGTATTTTACATCACCCAATAGTAACTACTGTTTATATATGAAGTCAAAAAAACTAAGCCAATTATTTATGTTAGAGATTATATTATATTGTATTTGGTATTACATTTCTAGCCCTCGCTTTTGGAAAGTGCTTAAGATGATACATGAACTAGCATTTTGAAAAAGAATATAAACCAGATCTATTTTCATTAATGGAAATGATGGAAGTGGAATACTGGGGTTGGAATTACTGATTTGTTCTTCCTACACTTTTGTCTGCACACGCTATTAGGATACTATATTCACATGTATACTGAAAAAGGAGATATTTATTCTTCCTTTCTGATAATGAAAATATATCAAGAAGAGATTTCACAAGAAATAAATTACTGAAAAGTAGACTGTTACATAAAATGTATTTAGTACTCAGAATAACTCAGTTTAAATAATCTCTGGCATTTTAAAATAAGATCCATTCTAAAGAAAATCCATATTCTGCTCTCAGCTGTGATAGCAGCAACTCTAAATCCAATGAAGCTATTTAAGTGTAAATGAATAAACTCTCAATGTACATAAGCTCGGTCTGAATCATCTTCTTAATAAATAATTTCAAATTAGGTAAGAAAGATCTGACCATGTGTAATGCTTCCTGGTTTTGCTGACATCTCTAATTATTTCTTGCTCATCTGCCTCATCCAATAGAACAATAAGCTCAACATCTGTTGTCATCAAAGGGCATGTTTGGCAACACATAACAGCCAAATGTCAGTATCTAGAAAGGATGTTTCTATGAGAAATGCACCATAACATCTGTGCATGAGGCTGGTTCTCAACTCCCTTCTTTTCTGGCAGCATTGCTGGTTGTGGATACTATTGCTGGTACCCACATTGCGGTTACCTCTTCTTGGAGATCAGATGGCTTATATTTCCATCTGATCCTTCATGCAGTAAAGGACTGGTTTCACCAATTAGAGGCCCAAATCTCTTCCTTCCCAACTTCAAATCATAGTAGAAATCAGACTAATTCACGCTACAGGCAATAGGGAAAAGACATTTCCTTCGGGTCTGTTCTTCAGGGATCTATGCCTGAAGACTGACATTCAAGACTAAAGACTCCAAAGAATGAGCTTCAGTCCCCAGAAGAACACAGGATATGACAGTAGGGATTAGGGCAATTTTTTAAGAAGTGGAGAGCTTTTAACGCTCACAGTTTTCAGAAAAATGTTAGTAATTACAGTACATTAAACAGCAAATTAAAGTACGTTAAATGAATATAGCTAGAATTGGAGGCAAATGCTCAAAAGTTAAAAGCAAAAAAATTAGACTCAGCTTGCCCACGCTGTCCTGTACATTTGTACTACCAACACTGCATTGTCAGGAAACCAATGGAAAACAACAACTGAAGCAATATGTGACAGCATAACTAAAATCACACAAAATGTCAAAGCACTGTCCTAACCTCTTCCACAGAAGGTAATATCATAAATGTAAGTCAGTAACATACTGTTAATCTCAGTACCTAACTGAAGAACAGTTGAAAGGCATACATAATGCGTAACACAAGAACTTAACACATTCCATTCAGCCAGTCTAAAGTTGTTTCGCCACAGAAAGCCAGATGGCTGGTCTTCCAGTCTTTCTCACGATTTCCAATATTTCTC